AGTGCACCCCCACCTGCTTGTCAAAAGCGTCCGGATCCATTGTCTTAGGGCCTGAGCCCTGATTATAACCAGACCGGAACGCTTTAGCACTAGCCAGGTGTGCCAGACAGGAGTAGCTCCCCTGCATTTGCTTCCCCGCCTTGAAGCAAGTAGTAAGAGCCTCGGTCAGGCGTTGAACTTCGGCCTGAAGAGAATCCACCTTAGCCTCAGAGGCTGACAACTGCCTCTTGTACGCATCATTGGCTTCAGAAGCTATCTTCAGATTGGTAGAGGCAGTAGTGGCTCTCTTCTCTGCATTGTCAAGATCCTTTTCCAGCTTCTTGATGGAGAGGGATTGAGCTTCAGCAGTGGCGCAGAGGGCCATGGTATGGTATAGACTCTGTTTAACAGGGGAGCAAATATAAGCATAAGTAGAAACATAAGCAAGCAAGAGTAACATAATTCTGAAGGAGCAATGCGAACCTCTATGGCCCGGACCGGGGGAGAGGGGAGTAGTTGTTCCAACCCCATTTGGCTGATGGCTTCCTTGTCCTTTGAGAGCCACATTCCTCGAGCCACCGCCAGTGCAGCTGAAGGGTCTGTAATCACAGAATCCCCTGAGTGCAGGACTGACCTGTCAGCCCTGGTGAAAGAAGGAGTCCAAGGAGCCCCAGTCTCAGCCAAAACAAAGGCCCTGACTTCATCTTCAGGTTCGGCCTCTCCAGCCTTTTTCCCTCTGCTCTTAGAAGGGACTTTGCCCTTGCCAGAGGATGAGGGGTTGAGGCGAGATTTCTTCATTGGTGGTTCCTCAACCTCCACCTCATCCTCAGTTGATCCAATAACAACCAAGGGTTGGGCATCTTCGGCTTTCTTTTTTAAAGCCTCAGCCCTCAGTATCTCCTCCTCAGTCATAGGGAAACTGTCAAAGGATGGTAGAGACAGATCCATGAGGTCTGCAGCAACAGCACTGGAGGCAATATCCTTGAGGTTTGAAGAAGTTAGCAGGTCCTCGATAGGCAGGGGGTCACTCCAGACTCGTTCCTCAAGAAAAGAAAGTCTGTTCGTTGCCGCGGAGGATGGGAATGTAGCTGAAAAAACACCAAGAAACTCATAAGTACGGCGAAACATTAAGACTTGGCAAGGAAAACAACCAGAACACTTGGTATGAAAGGAGGTTAAGTATTCTATACCTAATTTCCCGAACTTGCGCGGGATGGGGAGCGTAATTGATTGGGGCACGAACCATTTTCCTTTAACTATAACCATTCTTTCTTTCCACTTCTTTTCGGATGAAGGAAGGTTCGTGCATATCCTTTGATGAAGGGGAGAGGTAAAAAAGAAGCGACCAGGCTCGGTCCTATGCTTAGATATATTGTAAGTAAGCAGAAGGTCGGCAAGGGTCAAATCCAGAGCCTCTAATTTTCGGCGCACCAACAGTGCCGAAAGGATGCGAAAGAAATTAGGATTTACCTGAAGGGGGGCAAGATTCAGCTTATTGAAAACTAAATGATAGAAGGGATGAAGAGGGAATCGGAGGGCGTTAAGATGCCCCACCGAAAGAAGTAACTCATCCTCCTCAATTCCCTCGCCGGAGGTAAAATCGGCACCCTCGGGATATTCTGCAATTTCTACTCCCTCAGGAATATCAAATTCTTCCATTACCGAAGCAATAGAGAACTTGATGCGGCGAATAGAGATGATTGCTTTCTTCTCTTCATGAGTAAGAACATAATCAGAGCCTGAGGTGGATGTCTCAGTTGGAATAGGGGAAGTACCTAATGGATTCAACAAAGGGCGATCTGTAGAAACCCTAGGAGGGGGAGCCCTAATGCGAACGGGGGAAGATGAAGGTGTGGATTCAGAATCCCCAAGGTCTATACGTTCGGGAGTAGATGAAGTACTCATAATGAAAGATTGAAGAGAAAGATGCGAGACTAACCTGACAAAGCGATGGAATGAAGAACGCAGAAGTGCAGCAAGGGCAAATGTAACTCTTGCAAAATCTTGTATGACGGAGTAATAATGAAAGACCTCGAACCGTTTCTGAAGCAAAGTAAAAAACCGGTTTCAATTCCCTCTTTAATAGGAGCCGTCGCTCAATTAAAAACGAAATTTGGGGCAAAGTGTGGAGGGAAAAAAAACCCCCTCCAATAAAAAGCGCACACGTCATCACTACCCATATCTACATTCCAAGGACATATAAGGCCCATCATGCTCAAGCCCAAATTGAGGGTATTTACAGCCCAAGACCATTGTTATTTGTCCTCCAACCTCCATCAAGGCCGAATCAAGAAGTCATCAGCCCAGCTTATTAATATTTAACATCCGGCCTGCTACTCAAGCCCAGCCGGATCAAAATATGTTCAGCCCAGTTATTCAAGAGTACACAAGTCCTACCAGTTGAAGGATTTACTGTAGAAAGAAAACTCTGAGATAGGAAGTTCTGTACAAGGTAAGTTCTATGTATGGAAAATTCGACAATGGAAAGAACTCTATTAGAAAAAAATGTTTATATAGAAAGAATTGGAGGGCAAGCAACGCGAGTCCTACCATAATTTTGCAATCTTTTGTATATAAATAGAGGCTAAGACCTCCAATAGAGCGATCAAGCAATTCTACGCTTCTCTATATACTGTTCTTGTTTATTTTCATTATTTGTTGAGTGAGTTGTTTTATTTTTCTCAATCATTATTGGTTGAGCGAAATTTTGCACCTACACCCCTAATTTCAGCATTTTGCCAATATCAACATCCAACAGCTCACTTATCGCTGTGCGCGCGCGTGTTTAGCAAAGAAAATATATGAACTAATGCCCAGGAAAAAGAGGCACAATATGGTAGAAAAATCTGTCAAAAACGATCTTCCAACAAATAGATGGGTCTGGCTAAAGAGCACAAGATCCAGAAATGAAAATCATCGTTTACAAATTGTGTGCACACAACTCACAACCAAGATAAAATATTCTAATAAATCACTACCCATTCAGGGACATTTTTTTCAGCTGGCTGTTGACTTTTTTTTTTTTTTTTTTTTTACCCTATGAATTAAATAAATAATAATCAAGAAATGTTACCAAAATAGCATTCCTAGTTCTTGCATAATGATTTGGTAATCCACCCTCTCATCTGTGCCCAGAGAACCCAATAATCGAAACAATTGTCAAAGATAAAGATAGCATTGAGATTACTGATGGAAGCAGACATTCCCAAATCTCTCCATAGAATTGAAGCAGACATATATATATATATATATATATATATATATATATATAGTGAGAGAGAGAGAGAGACGAATTGGGTTTAGGGGTGGGCTCCTTAAATGCACAATTAGTGAGGGCTTTTATGCACAAATGGTGAGGGGCAAAATGAGAAACAAAAGGGTGAAATGGGGTTTTCAATTTTACTTTTTGTAAAAAGTGGTCAGAGGGACCGATTATGCACCTTTTTTGAATTCTGTAAACTTGCATGCACATTTTTAAACAGTAGGAACCAATTTTACACAAAGTCTATATATCATAGAGATTTTTTACACTTAACCCTAAATTAAATGATGGCACTTCAAATCAAGATAAAAGTAGACTATTGTCCTTGACTTATGAATTGACTTGTTTTAGTTATGAATTTATTATTTTAACCTTTTTAAAGCATTTTAATAAACAAAATTAATCTTGACTCAACAACTTTATTTCGACAATTATGATCATTGACATTGGGGAGATACTGCATCCACTCTTTTTCTTACTCAAGTTATGTGATGTTTATTTGTCAATAATCGCTCATAAGTCCTAAACTATTCATAATAAGTGAACAATAATTAAAGATTTTTTTTTTTTTTTTTTTCCTAAAAAAAGGTACTGTAATAACTAAAGAAACTAGGGGAAAAAAATAATAATAACTAAAGATTTTGAACTAAATAGTGTTTTTTTTTTTTTTTTTTAATATATTACATCTTGGTAATAAATTCATACGTCTAAACTTTAGAACAAACTTTTAGTATTACTATAATTATATATATTATATACTACAAGTATTAGAACCTACTCACAAAAATATTCATTGCCTTTTTTCTTTTCTTTTTTTTTTTTTTTGGTATAGGAAACGTGTATTCCTTGAGTTGTGAAATGTTAATTGTAATTTGTATCGTGCAAAGATGGAAAGTGTAGAATGTAGCACCCTGCATGAATCCTTAAATTACTATACCATTCACAACAAACTTTCATGACAATAAAGTCCATTATCAAATGTTAGATTCACCTGTATCAGAAAATAAAAAAGGGAGATGGTTCAAATCTTTTAGAATTATTTTGTAAAGGAGAACAATCCCTCTCATATCTGTGCTTGTATTAGTCAACCTCCACTTTTAGTTGGTGAAAGTGTTGGAAAGAAATTGTACCATTAAAGAGAAGTTTGAAAGAGATTAGAGAAGAAAACAAAATCTACTAAGCCCTTTCAATACCAAACCATTAATAGAATAGACGTGATTATGACATCCATTCTCAACGGAGGTGTGTGTGTCAATCACTTTAATTTCTTTAAAAAAAAAATTCATTATTGGTGGGTGGTAGTGTTGTAATCTGGACACATCTACCTCTTTATAAAAAAACTCTTAATTTGTTGAGAAGTCGACAACCGACTGAGAGAGATAATAGATGGAGAAATTCTAAACTTGTCGAAAGCTGAGGACGACAATGGATGAAGAAACTAAAGTGTGGTCTGTTACGATGGGCCTCACACTCGTATCTCAAAATCGGTTATGGGGAATTGAATATCTCACAAGTCAGGTCATGAGAATTGGCAAGGGCAAGTTGATTATGGAAATATGCAAGGACAAGTGTGCTGCGGTTCTTCTCCAAACATTTATAAATTTTTATTTAACAATTTAAAAAACATTTCACATTATTTGCTTCACATCACTATTTCTGCAATTATTTGCCATGTTTAATTTCACACACAACTTAATTCAAACAAATATGACAATCTGATGTATAATCATCGGATGTAGACTTCATATGCTTGGTAAAAAAAAAAAGAAAAGAGTATTGGAGAGGATCTAGGTCCATACCCACCCAACAATTGTCGGCTTGGATCAATTTAGAATTAAATGGGACCCTATGATTGACCATCTAGATTTCTCCACGTGTATACACACACATCCGATGATGTCATCGCCGACCCCACGACTCTGACCTCATACCAGACCCCAACCGCTTCCCAACCTGTCTCATCTCCGGTTCAGCCAACTCGGTTCTCCTCAAATAATTCGCCGCCCGGTTTGCTTGAAACCGGGTTCGAAAAACTTCCTTTAGACTCGTCCAAAACCCGGTTCTGTTCCCTCTACCATTCTTCGACCCAACCCTCCCCATACACGAAACTCTCGGAGAACCCGGTTCGGCCACCTGAACAACCGGTTTTCCATTCGGCTCAGACCGGGTTCGAAACAGCCGGACATTTTCCGGCCTCCGGAACTTCCCGCAGGCGAAGCAAGAATTGGGGAGTCTGATGATGGACGGTTTGGATTCAAGAGTCGGAGATGGCCTTTGAGAAGATGAATTGGTAGTGAGGTTGAGAGTGGCCTTTGTTGAGCCCTTGCGTTCGATGAAGGCATTGCGATTGAGCCAATCGAGTTCGTGTTCTTTGGGGATCCAGAAAGACTCCGGCGGGAGATCATGATCTGGAGGAGGATCGACATCAGCTTCTTCATTTGACTGTGAGAAGCTTTGGCAGCTGTCGCCGTCGGCGGAAACTGTGTTCGTCAGATCGGATTGTGGTGGCATTAGGTAGAGAGAGAGAGTTTTTTTTAGAGAGAGAAAATGTGGAACAGTTGAAGCAGGATGGAGATTTCAGATTTGGAGGGAAGTGTACGTGATGACTGGGGATGAGGACATGCGTATGACACACAATGACAAAAACACGCTGTCCCTAATTCAAATCACAAGACATATCACGTTTGTACCAAATATATATATATAGATATATGTATATTAAAATTAAATTTTCGATTTGGATTAGTTTGTGATTAAAATATTCAGAAACGCCTTAATTTTTAATTTTTCATCGCCAAATGTAACAGTTTTATTCAGGTTTATGGTTACATTGATGGGGACCACATAGTTTCAAATTATTTAATAATTTTTCTTCTTATGAACTATATGATTTATTTTTAGATAATAATATTTTATTCTCATGCTACAAAAAATGAAAAATATATTTTTCTTAGTTGATAGTTCATGTGAAATGTGAGATTTAAGTTACATTATCCTTTTATATGGAGTGTTGTTCGCACAAATTGGCACTATTAATTCTCGAATTTAATTTGTGAATCCTAATTTATAATTATTTCTTAAATAATAAATAATCACATATACCATATATTATAAACAAACAATGAATCAAAATATATCTAATACGGAATACAAACTATTAAAGTTCCTAACTACGAAAATCCTAAACCTTAAGAAATGTTAACAAATCCTTGTTATACTGTCGTCCCCTTCATTTTTTGAAAGAATTAAGTCTATGTGTATATATATGTATGTATTTGTGCATAAATTATACATGCACTTGTTAATTTTACTTTATTAGTCAAGATGCTTACAAATTTAAAATTCCTTAAAGTAATCTTAATGTATAAAAATTGAACAATATTTCTTTAAGAATCTAAAAATAGATGAATGGATTTCTTAGCTTATATTCTTTTACAATTAAAAATCTAGGACAAGTTTTTGTATGTAAATTATAAATAATATTCTATATCTCCTATGGAATCTCGTGCATGGAAGAAATAGTAATTACTTTGTAGTTCAAATATATTTTCTCATACCTATGAAATTAAATTATTATTAATCCACCAAGTAATGCCATGTAGCACACACATATTGAAAGTTATTTATTTATTTATTTTTAGAGCACGTGTGTCGGTCCTATAACATACGCATTATTCAAATCAGTAATACGATTCGAAAGCGAGACCTTAAGAATTTACCTTTGGCATGTCGCTATGCTCTTGAGAGAAATTTTTTTAAACGTGTATATATTATATCATCATATAAGTAATAATATAGAATTATACAAGTGCTTTGGAGGCACCTTTTATCAAATTTTAGATTTTGCATTTTTTCTTCTTCGTGGTCTCTATTACTTATGGTTTGACTCAATTTTAGAGAACATTTTTTTTAAGAATATTCTGATAATTGTAATTTTTTTATTTCAAGAATACTTGAAAACAGTTAAGAGAACTCCTAATTATTGGTCTAACTAAACTCTTGTTTAGATAGTATATCTGACATTTTGAATGGGTAAAAAAGTAAAATCCAGCTCTCTCACTTTGATTTCTCTTTCTGCTGGGGGATGGGATCTCATAATTGTATTAAAAATGAGCAATCAAAAACCATGAGTAACAAAGTACATAATGGCCCTCAGGCCTAGTGGTTGAGCTCATGAAGTATGTTTGAGTTTGCAAGTCAAGAATGTAATGAATGTGCCCTCATCACCATTGGATCATGCATGTAACTATGATTTGTTACATGATCCAACGGTGATGAGGACGTGAGCTCATGAGGAGGTTTTCACTTTAACACTGGTGTAATAAGATGAACTGGAAGGGTCTGTTTAGAATGGTATGTGCGTGCAACGTACTAAAATAACATCATTTTAGTACACAATACGAAAAATAAAGTACGTGTAAAGTCCCAATAGGTGATTCACATTGGACTATATGTTTGTGCCCTTGCACCAAAGTCCCAATAGGTGATTCACATTGGACTATATGTTTGTGCCCTTGCACCAAAATGACGTTGTTTAGTGTCATTTTGGTCACCGGAGGGAAGGAAAATAATCCCCTCATTCTCATGTGTTGAGAGATTTTATTTCCGTTCCATGCATTAAAATAGTATCATTTTGGTGCATGAGTACTACGAAGATTAACTTAAAACTCCGTTTGAATGCACCAAAATTACATTATTCTGGTGCATCAAACGAACATAACCATTTCCCGCACAGGATGGGATACGAATCGAACAATAAAAATGGCTTAATGGCCTAACCAGGCCTGCTGAGTCATTTGGACGCTTGGTGGGCATTTCATTAAGAACGAAGAGCATATTATATCTTTGTAATATCAATATCTATCAAACTAAAAAATGTAGCAGTATAAATATCACAATCTAAATAGAAATAATAAAATATATCGTAGATGCCTCAACCGGATAATGAAGTCTACATGACATTTCTAGCAAATAAGTTTTTTTTAAAAAAAATAATATACTGTGAGTAAAGAAAATAATGCAAAAATTATATCATGGTGTAGTCAACATTAAAGTGATCTCACTATTTAAATATATAAAAACAGCTCAAAATATAATAAAATGAAATTATATGAGACTAATAAAGTTAATAGTGTTGGGAAACGTGCAATATTTAAAAACTTTTCGAGGGATTTTAATTTATAGATCTTGATTCATCACATAGAGACAAATTTTATGTAAAAATAAAATATGATGTATCATTCAATTAAAAGATTGAATACTTATATTAAGGTTTGAGTAAACGTTAGATCTCTCCTTTAAAGTGAATGTTCTTACTTATTGTAAATCCCTTTTGCTAGATACCTTTTACACGGATCTCCGTCTTCTTGGTAATGGTCTTGCCTTTAGGAATCACTCGTAAGCTTCCATGAATGACCTTGGAAAACTAGGCTTGTGGGAGCCTCCATTAGATGAGAACACTAACCCTAATTTTCTAGAGAGAGAAAATTTATTTCTTTTTCCTTCTTTCCAAAAATCACCTCCAAAATATACATGGGCTATGATTCATATGTCTCAAATCTAATATGATTCCAATATCAAGTTGGGCTATGAGTGAGAATCCATTGGGCCTATTATTTTATTGGCTATAATGAATTAATAATTGGCCCGGTTCATGGACCCAATTCAATTAATTCATAAATTAATTTCTACTCCACTAAAAGAAATTAATTGAACTCCAATTAAATAATAAATAACATCTAAGTCAATATTGCACTTTGACCCCTCTATTCTTAATTAGTTATCGGATAAATAAAGCCATCAATCCGACTACTTAATTAATATATTTATTTTGGTACCATTGATTATTTCTGGCTCGATCATAATAAAATATTTGTTTGACAAAAATAATAATTTAAATAAATAAATATATAATAAATTATTTTGTCTAAAAACACACGAAGCCATTCGAATTTACTTTGTGATCAACCATAATCAATACAAAATAAATACAAGTAATAATGATGCAAATATTGAAAATATAACCCTCTAACTATTAATTACATAACTACTCAAAGTGCCGGTCTAAGGATCCCGAAAAATCCGCCGAACAAATCAAAGTAATTATTAATTAATAAAAGAGTCTATAATTTTCTCATGCTTAAGAGTCAAATGCCATGACGGTGATAAGGAACAATTGCATACGACGGCTCTCGCAATATATCTCAACCTAACGCGGATCCAGTTCAAATTTTAATTAATTATGAGTCCATCCATAATTACCGACTATGAACCATTTATGATTATTATTTATATATCATGCATTGATTGCCATTACATACATATATATAAATATTTCTTGTAATCAAATGGACACTATCAATTCTATAATGAATCGAAATATAATACATTGAATTCTCCAATTGTATAAAATATAAATATTTCAGAAACGTCAGGAACATATGTCACTTTAATTCAAACAGGAATTTGCTATGCTGGGGCATATAAATCCCAACAGATAGTGTATCACCAAAGGCAATAGTCGAGTAGTACTTTCTCGCCTTTCAAAGTCGAAAGTCGAAGGTTCAAATTCTTCCGTAAGGGCATGTGGGTGTATGAGTGTATTTCTTATCAAAATAATAATAATAATAAATAATTAAATTAAATTAAATTAAACAAAGAAGAAAAAGTTAATTGTGTAATTTGATCAAAAGAAAAAAAATTGTATAAAACCTTGACTCATTCGCTTAATCCATGTGAATAAATTTTTTTTATGAAATTTTAATCGTATAATTCTTATTCAATTCTCTTTATTTGTGCCTCAAAATTCTACATGAGGATGATAAAAAGATAGATATGGTCCCACCTTAAATCCCTCAAATTTCACGGTAGCATTACTCATTATAAAAATACCTTACCTCCACACTAGAAGAAATTTTTGATACTCATACACACATATTTTCACATAAGCTCGAATTCCTGACAGTCCTTTATAAAGTAGGGGCCTGATATTGGTAGGGCATTAACACTAGGGATGACAAAGTGTGACACAACTCACCAACACGAGTTGAACACAATATGAGTTAAACGAGTTTGAATTGACCTTAAATGGGTTCGAGTTGTAAACGGATTAACAAGATAAATTCATTTAGTTAATCATGTCATGTTTGGGTCGAGGGATTCACCCCGTCTATACCTGTTTAACTATACGTGTCATAATCAAATTTCTATTTAAGTTTCAAAACAATTATCTAAATTTTGTCTTATGATTTATTCTTTTGTAGATTAGAGATTATTTAGTAATTTGATTGGATTGAAACATATATTTTTTTACTATTTATTGTTTGATTGAGTATTATTAATAATTTAAATAATATAATATTTTTAGTAAATAGGTCATTAAACGTGTAACTCGTTTAATAAACAGATCTGGTTAGTATTGAAAGGTCCTGACACAATTATTAAATAGGTCGTATTCGAATTAAGCTATTTAATATACTCTAATCGGACACGACACGACACGACACGACACGGCACGGCACGATTATGACCCGCAATCACAAATTGTCACCCCTAATCGACACTGAATCTGAATCCAATGGGCAACCAGGTAAACATTCATCAACAATATAATTAATGCTGACCAGTGACCAAACTACCAAATTACTATTTATGGATCAAATTAATGGCCAGCACAACCTAGCCAACTAAAGCGAAAGAAGAATGTCGGTTTTGTGGTCCAGATAAAAAGGTGGCCATACAACGATACACCATAGTTGAATGGCGAAACCATGTCCCAAGATTTGGATCAATGATTAATTTAGTAACCCATACGAAGATCACTTTTATTGTCAAAATTCTACATATGGAATATTTGTTTTAATATAAAGTATTACTTAATATTATCTACATGAATATATTAAATATAAAAAAACATCCTAGGTTTTTCTTTCCAATAAAGAGCAATACTTAATATTATCTATATTAATATATTAAACATAAAAATCATCCTATGTTTTTCTTTTTGATAAAGAGCAATGATACGGGGAAAAGAACATCTTATGTTTTTTTTTTTTTTTGTCTTACGAGGTAATGATAAGTTAAAAATGCCTTTCGATGGAGCAAGAGGGACCCAAACTTCAGCATCACTCGTTGCAAATGACATCTCTATTCTATAATTTGATAAAAAGTAATGATACGGTAAAAAGAACATCCTATGTTTTTTTTTTTTTTCCTTAAGGAGTAATGATATAGATAAAAATGTCTTCCGCTGAAGCAAGAGAGATCCAAATTTCAATAATTTGACCAATCACAACCTAATATACAAGTAAATGTGTTAACTTTATTCAATTTTTTGTTTGTGTGTCAGACTGTGATTGGATAGGGCCGTATAAAATTTCCCGTAGTTCAATAAAGAGCATCTCCAATTTGATAAATGTCCATTTTTTTCCTTATTTATTTATTTATTTAAAAGCTTTTTTCTGTGATCATATTCTATAAAGCCACTTTCCCGGGAAAGACAATTCAATCAGCTCAAGTAACTTTCTTCGTATATGCAAAATTGAAAAGCATAGCAATTCAACTTTCTTCGTATATGCAAAATTGAAAAGCATAGCAATTCAAGCAGACTATGTTCGTACTTATCTCATCCAAAAGTAACCATACCCTTCTTTAAAGAAGTCTTCAATTTCAGCTAACACAAACAAACTCAAATTCTTCTTCATCAACATCTCACTTTCTGTCAAAGCACAAACTCATCCATTTCTGGTTCGGCAGTGCTGCAAGTAACTATGGGTTTTTTTTTTTTTTTTGCACGACTCTAATAAATAGTATCGAACAAGAATTTTTGTCAGCTTTTAATAAATAAATAACAAAAACCTTTATTTTTTGTTTATGGTTTTGAAAATCACACCAACTCCAAAATTTGGCTTCCACGTTAGGAAATGAAAACTTGTAACGTAATTTCACCATAAATAACTAGATTAATGTAAGGCTAAAAATTAAAGTTAAAAATAATTTAGATTGGCCTTGTTAAATTGTTTGAAGAAGTTGACAGATCGAATTAATTAATGGGTAGGACAACCTGTACCTAAAGCTAAAGAGAAATGTTGAAATTAAGGTGGGCAAAACAATGTCTTATGATTCCGGATCTATGATGATTAATTTTTAGCCCTCTGATTAACTTTTTATAACCGATAAGATCGATCACTTTAAAGTTAAAAGTGGGCAAAGTTTATGTTTTCTGCTTTTATTAAAGATTCAGTGGTAAGTGGGGCAAAAAAAAAAAAAAAAAAAAAAAAAACCAGATATACATGTACAATTATTATATTATATATAATAAAAAAGGTAACCTTTCGAAATATATATATAGGCATTAGTAGCTGCTTAGTTTTTTTTTTTTTTTTTTTTTAGTTTGGTACTCACGTACACATGCTTTCACCGTATCTTCAATATCTTACCTCTCTTTAAAAAATAGAAGTATAATACCGCTAGGTCACTGGCTTGTTGGTCTAATGCTTAGTTTGTTAAGTGTCCAAATTGTATATTGAAGTCCATGTAAATATATATATATTTGAAAATTCCCCTAAACTTTCATTTTTGCACATAACTCGGTCCCGCCCCTTTATAACACCGTAAAACATTTTTAGACTTAAAATTTTTATAATACCCTTCTTTTTTCTTTTTCTTTTTTCAAAATGATCTTAGATAATTTTTAGAATGACCAATAATGTAAATGAGTTATTCATATTTTGTATTATATATAAAAAATATATATATAATTTTTAAAATTTTATTGTTCAGGGTTCTTTTGTCATTTCTCAACCAACGGTCATTTTATTTTGGAAGAATATTATTCCAAACCTTGAATGTGGAAGGAACTTTTTTTGTTTTGTTTTGTTTTTTTTTTTTTTTTTTTTCATTTTATTTTGGAAGAATATTATTCCAAACCTTGAATGTAAAAGAATTTTTATTTTTATTTTTATTTTTGATCACCTAAACTTTTTTTTTGTTTTCGTTTTTTTGAATGTGGAAATATTATATATAAAGGTAAATTAAAAAAAAAAAAAAAAAAATCCTCAGCTTTCGCCATTTTGCAGAAAATTCACCTAAACTTATATTTTTGCACATAACCCTTTATGACACTGTTAAAATAGTGACAAAAAAATGTGGCATTTTTAAACCTAAAATCTCTATAATACCTTTCTTTATTGATCAAAATGACCTTGGATTATTTTTCAAATAATTGAGGGACTTAATTGGAGTATATGCCAAACCTTGAAAGTGGAAGGAACTTTTTATTTTGTTTCCTTTTGCAGTTAACCCTCCACTATAAAAAGATGATAAGTGAAGATAAGAAGGTATTGGGATGGGATTATCAGGAAGGAAGCAAAATGGGAATCAAGGCAATGATGCTGTTCTTCATCTTCTTCCTCCACTTTTCCAGTCTTGCATCATTTTTTGCTCTAGGCAACACCTTGCCTTCAGGACCAGGTAGATTTCCTACTTCATTTTCTCAATCTTCACACACACACATATATATTTATATTTATATATTTTCATTTTTCTTTTCCTGTAATAGGGTATTTTAGCTCTTTCTCTGTCAGAAGTGTTGAGTTGCTCAGGGCTGGCTGCTGGCACATAATTCATAGAAGATAGATAATATATGTATATATGTACAGCTGTAGTATCATCCCTCAAGTGTAATTTACACAAGAAACTTGCACACACACATAAGCAAATTTTAAGTCCAACAAACATGCAACACAACATTGTTTCGTGGGAAACTAATCCAGATTACACAATCTTGTATTCAAATGTCCTTGTAGAGTTTTGGGGAAAAGTTGTCCCTGCCATTTCTTGTTCATACCTTGTAGAGTTTTGGGGAAAAGTTGTCCCTACCATTTCTTGTTCATACCATAGACAAAAAAAATATGCGCCATGGTACTTGAAATTTTAGAATTTGGTACTTTACTTTCAAAGGAGAGAAAGTGCACCCTAGGGAATTTCCCTTATGTGGAGGGATCAGAACAACTTCGTAGGTATATCTTCCATTGTCGAAATCAAAAGAATCCGATTCGAGCTTGTTTCCACACAAAAAGGACAAAAAAAAGATCGTTGAAATTGATAAAAATCTTCCGATCCAAAGTGCATCACCAAAATATTCATTGTTGAATGATTCTTTGATAACAAGAAATCACAAAAAAAGAAACGTCTAAAGACCATGGTTCGCCGGATCGGCTAATACACGACGTATCGACCTGTTTATAACCCTTTTTCAGGGTCTGATACTGTTATATACCTCCATGATCGAACTGGCTGGTTCAACCGATTTACACCGATATTCGTCTGAATCTGTTACACCATGATCGTAAACGATATCGCGACTGTGAACCATACTCTAAACCTAATGAGATTCCAGAATAAGGAAAAGTATACATTTACTCTCTTTTGTCGATAACCGAGAGTCCGGGGCTTTGCCATCCATGGGACCCGTGCAAGGTGCCTCTCCAAACAGATCCGGCCGATGTGGTCCCTAAAGAATTATTTGCACTTAGGAGAAATCGATAATAAGACTTTATACTTTATGAGGCACCAAACTCAAAGGAAAAGTCCGTTTCTATTACCTTTAACTTTGAATTCAATTCCCTCTTTGAAATTTTGGTTACGCCGAGGAATCAAGCAAACAACATCTTACTTTAATTCTAGGGTAGAAATGAGGGGGAAAAAAAAAATTGTTATCCAAGTTGTATAAGGTGGCCAACTTTTACAAATTAAAAGTAAAACATGACCTGGAATCAGGAAAATGAGAAGGTTAAATGACATAAATATTCCCCATTGCTGTCTCCTATTTTCTATTCTTCTTTTTTCATGGTAACCAAACAAGAAAGCATGATTTTCTTTGCATTATTCATTCCTTTCCCTTACTAAATCAGCTATCCAAACAAAGCACAAGAGAATCATTCTTCTTAAGGAATCCCCATATCAGAAAAGTCTTTCCATTTTCTGTATGAAAATTTTGGACAATGCAAGAGTCTTGAGAGTGCATATTTTTGTTTCATGCCCTATTAATTTGCAAATTCTTGGTGATTTTCTTGTTTCATCCCAAACCTAAATTAGTTGCCTGTATATTTATATCTATTGTGTGTAATATATACACAAACATACAGTTCGTTTGCAGGAGAACATGGAAGGTAAAGGAATGGATGAACATGGTAGCTCTACAAATGGGGGTGGAAATGGCATAGCCCACCACAGCAAATTTGCCCGTGGTGCCGGTGGCCGAGCTGCAGGCACCGCAGGTGAGGAAGCAAATGGTGGTACTAGCACACAAGGAGGCACAGCTGTCATTCCCATATATGCAGCCGGTGCTGCAAGTGGCCACCGCACCCACCATGGCGCGGCCAGCTCCAGCCGAAGCTGCCTCGGACTTCCTACCTTGGGTGCAGCCATCTTGGCATCTGTTATTGTACATACTTAAGCAAGCATGTAACAACAGTGTCTAATTGCTTCAGTATGTACAGTATTGTTAGCTTTTGTTATACTATTGTTAGCTTTTGTCTCTAAGTACTTGGTTGATGGGGGGCTTTTCTCTGAATCTGTTTGGTTTTGTATTTTCTGAACATGGTATTTGTAATTTTGTATTAGGCCATAGAATGGTTGAAGCATGTTTTAGTGTTGCAACTGGCTTGTGCAGCTTATTGCTGCGTGTTAAAAGATTCCGTTTGTTTTGATATAAAATATTTTTTATATTTTTGGTGTTTGGTTGTCAGCAAAATATTTATAAAAAATATATATATATTAAAATCTAACAAAAATAACTTATTCATTAATTTTCTACAAGTTATTTTATACGCCCCACCCAATAGACTCAACCTTAACACCTAAACCTTTGCCAAACACCAAAAAATAACAAATATATTTTACCTTAAAAATATATATATTTTTCGAGAAATATATTTTACTTCTAAACAAGCATAGCCTAAGTGTCTCTCATGATTTGAGCTCAAAGAAGAGTTGTGTGGGATTGATTTTGAAATTGAAGCTGACAAGAACAAGAACAAATTGGATTCTAACAAAAACAAAACAGCAAAGGTGTTAATGAATTGCCACACACACACACACACACATTCATTTAGCATTTCCATATGAGAATAAAACTAATTGAGATGGGTCTTGGTAACTGTTTGGATGGTTGCATTCTACTGAACAAAAGCACAAAGAACAGAGACACCACCCATTCAAGTACCCCGAGGAATTCTTCAACATAGATGATAGAGGAATTATTCATATCCATTATTCTATAATGCTCTGAAAGGCGTACATACAATGAATGTTATATGCTACTCCTTAGCATCTTTGACTGGGGCAACCCTGGCCATCACCAAGAAGTAGTGCCTTCTAAGTCTTCTACCTCTCACCAGTGCCTTCAATATTCTCCCAGCATTGCATCAAATTGATGGAATGCGGCAGCCTGAAGATGAAGATGAATTTTATTGCTTTCATTTTCTCTTTTTCTAATGGTAGGGCCTGCATCTTTTGGAAAGAAATCGTTTATCAAGAACCATATATTAAGTTGCAAACCACAAGGCTGTATGAACTCTATAGGAAAGAGGAGGGCGGTCTTCAGAGACATGGCACTACACTGCTTGTGTTAGCCCTAGGCTAAAAGCCATGGGATCCTTCCTCTCATTGAAATTAGTTGAATCTTCCAGACCTTGCTTTGAATATAGATCCAAAGGTAACTGAGAAAACGACTTTTGTATGTAAAGGAGTGGATTAGGAGGAACTGTGAAGCAAGAAAGTATTATGACTTATCTATGGTCCCCTAGAATCTTTTTTTTTTTTTTTTTTTGGATAAGTAAAAATATATTAGAAAAACGTTCAAAAGGGGAACGTGTCCCTAATACAAGAATAAAAAAAGTCTAAGGACCAATGGAATCCAAGAGATCAAAGAAATCATCAATCAAGGAACATGCACTTCCTCTTACATAAGAGAACAGAGAACGTAGAATATGAATTTTTAAAATAGCTAAAGACGATGTTATTCCTCTCACGCCACAGGCACCACCAGACACAATGTGGAACAATCTTTCAATAATCCCGAGCTTGTTCTTTGACAGGACACCTTTTCCAAGCGTTAATCAATTGAGAAAAGTGCTTAGGCATTACCTAAAAAACACCAAACATGCTAAAAATAAAACTCCAACAAATTAAAATTACTTACACTGGTAAGTTACAGGTACTCTGCACACTCAACATCTAAACATGCACAAATTAAAATTCTACCAAGTTGGCAAATTGCATGGCGACTATGAATTTTGTCCTTTCCCTAGTCTAAGCAAGTTTTTCACACATACTCCTCAATGTGTTCCAGTCCCAATCCACTTTGACAATTTCTCACCTTTGTATATCCCTTCTAACTCAAATTAATATAACAAAACCTTATCTTAATAATTTAAGGTCAGTTTTATGAATCATGTTTTGCATTGATTAGATCCATTTTCCAATTTCTAATTTTGATCTCATCTATTATCATAGCAATTTGACTTTCCACCCAATTTTTAAACTCAAATTTGACTATTCAACAACTATATAAAATTAAGATTTGCTTTTCTTAATTATAATAATTTAGAAATTCCCCTTTAACTATTTCCAATTTCAAATCATATTTCCACCCAAAAGTTGCTAAACTTATCTTCGTAATTCCTCTACTTTGTTGGTTTGTTTCACATTGAGGAGCCCCTTGTGCAAACGCCACCTTGACCATGATTGTTAAAGATTGTAAATACCATAAAAAAAACAACTTGTGCTCTTATATATCAATTGTGGCTTGTTAATCTACAAACCAGAAGAAGAGAATGAAGGAAGATGAGCAAACGAAACGTTCTACTTTGACAAATAACTCAAAGGTCACTAATGATGATGAAGAGAGGTGTCTACCAATAACCCATTACACCCCTTCATATAGAAAACCTATACTAACAGAAAAAAGGATTCTAAAATAATAACATGAATAATACAATAAATATTATAGGATTCAGAATTACTCAAGAATCAAGAAAACTATAAAATTGTTCCTAAAACAATTAGCTTCCTAAACAATCTCATCTTGTCCAATGCTGGCCGTGTCCAACAGAAATGACTCGAGGAAGAGAGTATGTCTAGCGGATGGTCAATGAAGGAATTTGCCTGACATCTCAATCATTTTGAGTAGACAGAACAAAACCATCATTGTAACTTCATATAACAGCACTATGGGTGTGTTCGTCTGCATGGAATTGGAGGTTTGAAATTGGAATTGGAGAAAATTTTAGTTCAATTTGCTTAGTTGCTTTTCTCCCATTCCACCAATTCCAAATCCAAGACTCCAATTCCATGCAGCCGAACATAGCCTTTAAATTATTCATAAATTAATGTACAGAAATATGCACATAACCATTTGAAACCTAGTAGGTAATCAAGAATAGGATGGACAAGGTAAGCCAACCAAAAGCTGGAATTATAGGGGAATTCAACTAAAGGTTGCCAAGTGTTAGCCAGTAAGTCCCCATGCTCTTTTGAGATCTTCAAGGGTTTATGCAGGCAGGTCTTGTTCCCAACTACAATAAAACTGTACTGATGATTTGACACAGTAGTATTGGAGATAATGCCTGACTAGTGTTTCTGCTTCATGTGATATGGTTTTATGCATACTTGACCTTTCATTTACCACTTTATTCAGTTTATGTCTGATTAGGTTAAATGTCTCATATTCTACCATTCATATGCATTCTTATCAACAAATTATGTGAAGGCAAATCTAATAATACATCAAAATAAATTTTTGGAAACTAAATTACAGGAAACATGCTAACAGAGGACAAAATGGTGTGAAATAGAAACCTACCCCCAAAATAAGATGGTTGTGAAATAGAAATATATAAATAAGAATACCATGTCGCAGAATAAATTTCAACCTGCTTCTTAGAAATGAGAGAGTTGCTCGAGTTTACGAGCTTGGAAAAATTTGCAGCGGCCTTTACCACTTGATTCAATTTCTTCACTTTTTCTCTTCAATCCAGTGAAACCAACACTGCCTAATTTCAATTGCCGCTTGCCAGTCTTGCTAGTGGAACCATCTTCATCCATTTTATCAGATTCCCTAGGAAAACCACAAATGGGATCAAATGAATATTGGTGGACACTAGACAGCAACGATAAGTGTGTATGCACTTGTGCAACCACTTAAATGGAAAAAGGTAACAAATTTTCATGTGATTATGGCTTGACAGGGGAAAAGCTAAATTCTAATGAGCTAGATATCATGGAAAACAATCTCTCTATACAATAAGAGTGTCAATTTCAGTCGCAACAAGTCGGATCTTGGTCTTTATACTATATTTTGAGATAATTATTAAAACTAGTTTGATAAATGGTGATTGGTGACATAAACCTGAAGAGGAAAAAAAATTAAAAAACAGCTATTGCAGCAAAAATAGGATATTTAACTAGTGTCCATTTGATGTAGATACGGTAATTTATGCCTTGTTTAGTAACAAGTTCCTGACTGTATGCTCTAGATTAGTACATACTGCATACGTCACCATAATGACACTGCATGAGGGTATTAAATAAAAAGTCAATGCAATTCAAGCATGCCTGCACATACACGAACAGATGAATAACAAGGAAACTTGCTAACAGAATTTAGATCGAGGACTCACCACAACACTTCGACATTGTTTTTGAAGTATGGAGTGCATGTGGCCCAGCTGAAGCGGACCAATGTTGGAAATCCAAATACCGAGTGTTTGTGATGCTGCAACCAAGCCTTGGTTTCAGGATCTAAACATATAAATGCATGTCCAGATTACTTTGTGACAACAGTGAGTTGAAATGTTAACAAAGTCAGGCCTAAATGAAAGGAAGTTAAACACTCTTACCTCCAGGGTACCCAGATCCAAAGTTCCTATGCATGTTTTCAGCAGTTTCATCAAGCACCCAATCCCGCAAGGCTGTGTCTCTTGTTACCTGAAAGGTGAACACATAAAATTGAGAATAATCTAGGGAAGACTAAAATTGGGATATTTCAGAAAATTGAGAGATGATCACCTTCGCAACAATGCTTGCACCACTTACAACTGGATAAAGACTATCAGCTTTTTTTGCAACCACAAATTTGACAGCTGGAAATCTTTCGGACAATTTAATTCTGTACTTTTCTGCATCTCCCACGGTATCTACATAAACCTGAAACACTTCCACGCCTTAGTTCTTATTTCTTTTTTCATGTGTCCAGGCAGCCTCATCTAGCCCACTAGTGAGCTGGACCCACAAAGTTTGAAAATGCTTCCAGTTTTAGGCCTTGTTACAAATTCTCCCATCCCCAACCCCCCTCCCTCTTCTGTTTATTCTTTTATCAGTTCTAGCCTTTCAGGTTGTTAAAAAACAGAGGATGCAAATTCAAGATGAGACTTCTTGACCTATTATTTTATGACTGTGTTCTAGACTTCTCAGCAAACTTTCAAAAAACCAACAATCAGGTATAAATATTTAATTCATACAGTTAAGAAATGACAGGAACTGTAGGAAATTTTTCCTGAGCCAACTATATATATATATCTTTATATATATATATATATATATATATTTGTTTTTCTATCAAATTAATTGTTCAATCACTCTAGGTCTTCCCATCTTACACAGTGGGGTTTTTTTCCTTAACGCAGTCTAAGGATAATAATTGATCAAATTAATTGTTCAATCACTCTAGGTCTTCCCATTTTACACACTGGGGTTTTTTTCCTTAACGCGGTCTAAGGATAATAATTGAATAATATATTCAAATTTATACATTATTATTCTATGTAAAGTGGAATCCTTGGGCAAAACCTACATATCAAAGACAGATCTAACCTGGTAGTTTTATCAATTTTCCATTATTATTCTATGTAAAGTTGAATCCTAGGGCAAAACCTAAATATTGAAGTCAGATATAACCTGACAGTTTTGTCATTTTTCCATCATTACCCTGGGCTTTGTTCTATTTAGTAAGAAACTATGTAGCTTGAGTGAAGTGCCATATAGAAGATCATCTTAGGGGACAACCTGTCGTATGTAAATTGAAAAATCTTTTACCTCAGTTAGAAGAACCCCCATGTCTAGCACCTTTCTGACGAGGCCAATTGCAGAATTATGTGATATTTCATTCAGATTTATCTTATTTCTGTTGCAAATCATAAAGGAGAAATCCTGTCAAAATGTTTCTTTACTGGAACAAACAATAATAGAATATAGAGAAAGTCCTGTACTAACTTATTTAACATTTTAGCTGAGAGCTCCCTTGGATCTATGACATCAACAGCCCATCCAATTGATTCATCTACCTTCAAATTTTCAAATAGCTCCTCCCTTTTTTCTTCTTTTAAAGTTTTTGAATCTGCAGAAAGTAAAAGAGAGCACAAACTTCATTAAGTAGGAAAAGTCCTTGTGATCTTGGACACCACATTTGGTTAGGACAAGCAGCTATAGATTATTACAGAAATACAAAGACAGGAAATTTTAGGACCCCGTTCCTCTGCTCATATTATAATCCAAGAATGCAGCCTAGCTAGAGGCTAGATTTCCTTTCTTTTTTTGTTTTCTGTTTATACTTCTTCCTTATTCAAATTTTCAAAGAAAGCTAGAGTGCAAGGTTCATACAGGTGAAATGGTCATTTTCTTCTTCAATTTGGTATTGCAGATGGCATCCACAATCAATTCTGCTTTTAAGTCATATGATCACAAAGTAAATAGCAAATGAAGAATTTTCTACGAAGTCAAAAACTTATTTTCCAGAAGCACAAAGCATCAACACTTGAAGATTTACCGATGGATCAGGTTCAACCGCTCAAGCATGCTCAAATCCAGGTCAATTTGAGAGAGGAAGAATACTTCCCAACTAACGTACAACTAATGTCGGACAAGGCAGGCCAACATTCTCAAACAAGATTTAATAACAAAGATGATGTTAACCCCAACCAGACAGCTGGTTGGCTAGAGCCTATTAGTGAATGTGATAACCAATAAGTCTCGAGTTCGACTCCTTAATGTGTTATCTGAGTATAATAGTTGTGCTCCCAAATGGGGTAGAGACAACTCTCCTTAAGAGGGTTTTAAGAGCTGATTATTATTATTTATATATCCTTAAATATAGATGAATATGTGGAGACTTTGGGTTTGTAATTTGAAAAGAAAAGTGTAAGGGTCTGGGGTTATAAGTGGAGAAAAAAAGTTAAAATTCAGAAGCTGTTCTAGGTATCCACGAAATAGTAACTAGGGCTGGTTTTGTTGGTTTATGGGGCTATAATTGATCTTGAAGGAGGAAAGTGATTGGCTTGCCAAATAGAGCTTTCAAGTGTAGAATGAAGGGGTTTGTACTAAATAATTATATCAAGATCCACCAAAACAAACAATTTTGTTTTCTCTAAAATCCACATTTGCAGTACACATGCCATTGATAATAATATGAAGGGCCCATGAAATACAAACAACTTTGCTATCTTATTTACTGGGAGGACCAAAAAAAAAAAAAAAAACAGCAACAACAACAATAACAAATTTGCTTTCTATTAAAACCCACATTTTGCAGCACAAATGCCATTGATCATGATTTATGAATATATTTCTTTCTTTATTAAAATAAATATATAAAATTTGGAATTAAGCACAAGACCACATTTTGTTAAAGAAGAAAATGGGTGTGTAAGAGAAGGGAAGTGGAAGCTAAGCCTGCAAATTGCAAAGTGGAAAGAGTCTTCTGGTATGAGAGTGCACAATACAAGCATCCATAGACCATGGGTCCTGGAAACAAATGAAAGAAACAAAAAATGAGAGTTTTCAAGAAATATGAAATATTAAGGTCAGAACAAACCAAAGCAACAATCAATTGAACAAATAAGAGCTAACAATACAGACTGAGATATAGAGAGAGAGGGAGGGAAACCTAGAACAGGGCCGCGGCCAGCTTCGTCGATGCCCATGATGCATGGCTCAGACGCCCATTTGGGAAGAGCACCTTCCGATCCCATTGGCAATCGCCTCTCTCTACTTGTATACCAACTTCCCGCCAGAAACGAAGAAAGAGTAAAGCTGTTTTAGCCCAAATGCGGCGTCGCCACGGCTCTCCTCTTGCCCTGGTGACTTTTGGGAATTGGGTTTGGATCGTCTTATGGCCCCATGGGTCGAGACAAATTTTATCCCCAATCAAACTTTGCCATGTCATGTCACTATATGCATTTTGGCCTCACATAAAATTGCCCTGTGATTTCTTTTTTAACCTTTACAACAACAACACGTGGAACAGCCAAGAAAGTCGCATCAAAAAAAAAAAAAACCCAAGTTTGGTCTTTTGGCCTCTCTAAGTAACTTAAAAAATAATTTTTCATTAAAGAATATTGTTATTTATTTATGAATAATTATTTGTATGCTAATGTGAAACTTGAGTAAAGGATTGTGTTGGGCAAAAATAAATAAAGGGTTGTGTGTCTCTCAAATTTTTAAGGGTTGAAAGTATCGTGAAATCTGTCTTAATGTCAAATTTTTATTTTTTTATTTATTTTTTATTTATTTATTTATTTTTTCCATAGTTATTCACACTAGTTTATATATCACCACTCTTTAATTGTTTTTTTTGGTTTTTGTTCATGAAACAATATCAAATTATGAATTCTTTCTTTTTCCCTATCTATTCAGTTAAATAACAAGAGAAAATAACTCCATTGTTCAAAAGTAATGATAACCAAAACCAAAAACCAAGATAAGCAGAAGACACAACATTGGTTGTAGCCAAAGGCAAATTGTACTTTCAAAGACAGACAGTTGGTGATAGCCAAAGGCAAATTGTGTGACTACTATTTCCCTGTAAAACTAAGGAGGTACATTTACATTATTACATCTATCATTTTTTTTTTCCCTGCATTTACAGAAATCAACACAGATGTCCTGCAAATTTTTTCTCCTTCTAGTAATATATCAAACCCTACTAAATCTTTTGTCCCTCTCTTAAAATGATACAGACTCAACACGGTACCCACATGCCACAAAAGTAGAGTAAAGCAGAAGCAAAACTATCTTTCTTGCTTCAGTTGATAGCAAAGATGAAAAGGAAGCATTTTGTATGTCATTAGTAATGACTAATCAGAATGAGAATGTAGTACTAAATCATGACTCATGCGGGTGGGTATTGGATCAATCATGACTCAAGGAGCATGCGGAACATTGAGGACACTCGGTCTTCGTCACTGCATCTGATGATCAAGTCCATGTACTGCATGGCATCCTGAGGGCGGAGGCCTTCAATGAAAAAGCGAAACAGGTTTGAGTGTGTGCCTTTCATCACATCCAAGCACTGCTCCAGTACCCTCTCGTGTTGTTCTGCGCTTAACTCTGCTGCCTCCAGCAATGGCAGTAGGTCTCTCTCCTCTGCCTCAAAGTGTTCCACGCAATGCTCCTGACAACATATAACAGAAACCCGAATTGGAAACCAAGTAACAGTTGTAATGAATCTTAACATACACACAACACAATCACTAAAGTAATGAGTGATCAAAGAGCACTAATGGTAACATACGTCTTTAGAGGATGGCAGGTGGAGCCACTACCCAATTTGGATAAATTTAGAGGACTGACCTGTAAAGTTTTGAGTCGAGTAGAAAGGTTGAAGAGGGCCTCTTGGTATACAGGGCTCCCAGAATCCAGAACTCCAATGGATTTGATGTCTTCTCTGATCCCATTCATGATGGGTAAGTCCCTTGCATGTTCCTCATTTGCAGCTTTAGATAGTCCTGCATTTGTCATATGTTTAAAGGTTTATACTTTTACAAGAATAGCATTGCTCTAGTGGGATACATTTTCAATATAGATTTAAAGAAGCAAGATTATGAACATAATTCAATAGTAACTAAATTCTACCTTGAACAGAAGAGTTTTAACTTTCTCAGAAGAAAACACTTTTGATGCACAAAGCACACCATTTTTTTCTTTTCTTTTTTAGTTTTTTAAAGAACGACCTGCACAATAGGTCTCGCGGTACTTTTAAAGGTCTCGTAAGAAATCCGCTCACATTGTTCTTCAATGCTTCTTAAATCAAGGTTTTCCATCCATTCAATTCTGTGAAATTTCTCAAATTCCAAAATATCATTTTTTTTCCTTCTCTTTTTGTGGGCAGCTTATATCAAATATTCCATGATCTATCTACCCATGCTTCCCACTTCAATTTCCCATATCATAACCTTATTTGCTTCATCAGCTCTGCAGATATCAAACTACCCTAAAAGCCACAGCTCTCTATATTAACATTTGGGTACACATTCAAATTTAATAATGCCAAACTGGTGGCAACAACAAAGCCAAGCTGCCATACTGAACTATGCCAAACATGTAACACATAAAAAAAGCAGAACAATGAACATTTTCATATACCCCAAAAAACATACTCATGTACTCGCCTTTCATTTTTCGTAATGGAAATCACCATAAGAACTATCAAATTCTCATTGCCTTCCGTTTTCAGAAAGAATTAGAGAATGCTCCTTAACCAGCTGCAGTTTCTCCACCTATATCTTAAGGGATTTCTCAACTATCACAAACCCATCAACCCTATTAGTCTTTAAAGGTAATTGGACAAACTTGGTGCCCCATAAGATATCTATACTACTGTTTATGTTAAGAATTTATCTAAACTTTAAGTCTTTTTCATGGGGAAACTATCCTTTTTTTCCCTAATGTTTCAACTTTGTAATTCATAATCACAAAAGAATAACTACTATATACCAATATATTGTACTAATGCTATGTCCAATAACATGATATCCATGCATTATAACTCGAATTCGAGAAAAACTAATCAAAAGTCAGAAATAATCTTGAATTTGGATTCTAATTCATGGATTCCATTCTATCAAAACCCAACATACTTTTATTCAAAAATATTTCCAATTTTAGACTCAAAAGTCAAAATTGTAAGTTTCATAACTAGAATGACATGTTTTATCCCCTTTTGTTTTCGGGGTAAGCAAAAAAACTCCATTGGAATCAACCAAGCCAACTATAAGGTATGTTTCATCTCCTTTTCCTTTCACATGAAGCTCCAATAATCAAAGTAAAAAATATTTCTTTAGCCTCTAACCCATTGACCATGAGTGGTCCATGATCCACTGTTGTCTTTCTCAGAGTGCATGATCCAACAGTACTCCTCCACATGGAAGAAGACATGGTCACAATTCATTAGTCCTCCATTGTTATAGGAATAAAAAACGAACTTCGATCATCCTTGGGCGTTTGGTCTAGTGGTATGATTCTCGCTTCGGGTGCGAGAGGTCCCGAGTTCGATTCTCGGAACGCCCCAGACAAAATATAATTCCCTTTTTTTTTTTTTTTTTGTTTCCAATTCAATACAGACAATCAGGAAGCTAATATACAATGTTACGCGGACCATTTTATTAACATAAACACATACCTCTATCAGCCATTTCCAAGATTGGAAAGACGATAATCTCCTCCATCTGAGCGTGCTCCAGCATCAAATCCAACAGCTGCGAGTAACTCCGCCCAAACTTCCTCACCTCCATCCGTGGACTCCCCACCGCCGGATTACCTCCCGCCTTCCCTCCCCGAACCGCCAAGTCATCCGCCCACCTCACCAGCCTCTCCACATGCCAGACCATACTCCGGTGATGCAGCGCCGCCGCCGCCGCCACCGGCGGCGTCTTATCGTCGTACCGACTCCCGTAGCTCATCAACGGCGGGTTCGGAAACTTCGATTCTATGTACTGAACTAGGGTTTGGAGAGATCCGGAAACGGATTCGGATCCGAATTGGAGAACCGGCGATTCGGACCCGAAATCGGGGGTTTCGGAAGGGACGAAGTGGAGAGAAAGAGGCTTGTAGAGGAGAGCGAATCGGATGTAGGAGGTGAGATTGCTGTGTGGTGATCCGTATAATCGGACGGTGGGAGAGCCTTTGACGTAGTCTGATGGTGCGATCTCGGCCGTTGATTTCTTGAGCTTTCCAAAGCAGTTTCCCATTGGAGAGACGATAGATCAAGAAACTGAAATACAGTGATTGGACGCGAAGAAAAGCGGGAATTATGATTTTCCGGGAAAATGCATGAGTTTTTGCGGTGAGGTTTTGATTGGAGTCCAAGAAAATGTTTGGGTTTTTTCAGCTATTTGGAGGTTGAAATTAACACCAAACGATCGAGGAGTTTAGTGAAAGAAGGGAAAGTGAAGCGACGCTTAATCAATAAGAGAGAATTCAAACCAACTGAAAACGACAGCATATAACGATTCCACCAATCTTGAGAGAGAGAGAAGGGTACAGTCACAGACTCTGTGTGTTGAATGCCGCCGGTGAGATATATGTATGTATATACTATATACACACACATAAGGTGTGCGTATGTGTGTGTATATATGTTTGTATAGCTGCTGTGGTAAGTGGATTGAGTAGAAGGAAATGAAAATTTTCCCTACTTTTGGAACACAAACAGCTACTGTTGACGTGTTTATGGTGCAATGGAATGTGGGATTTGGAAGAGTCTTTTCAAATTTATAGAATGCAAAATATTTATATTATTTAATTTTTTTCCTTATTTAATATTTTTAATTAGTCATACTATTTTGTGTCCAGTTGTAACATTGCTGCTACATACAAGCACAAATGTTTTATGTTGCGGCATAAGTGACATAATTTTTTTAAAATGAGTGTCCTTATAATCTAAATTCAAAAATAAATCACTTTATATTTGAAAATACTGAATTTACAATTTAGATTTAAATTTTTTTAATCTCAAATTCAAAGAACTAATGGGTGTTCCCAAATGCAAACATTAGATTTTTATTATTTTTGTGCTTTCATTTTTAGACTAGCTATTACACTCGCTATGTGTGATTTAGATTGCCATTCCATAAAAATATTTTTTTTATTTTATGTTGTAAATTAATAGAATATTATAGAGTAAAATAGATTCACAGAGGAATTCAGGTTAAGTTAAGCACTCACAAAGAATTTGTGAACCCACTTTAGCCGCAAGTTTCTTTTGAATGTTTGGCTTTATTTAAAGTAGACAATAAATTATTTTTCTATATCAATATATAAATCACAAAAAAAAAAAACATTTAAAATGAAAGTATATAGCAAAATATTGTTCTCATTTTTTCTTTAGAGCTATCTACAGAAAAAATTTCGATAATTGTTTAGTGCATGTGAAACGAAAAGATTGTATGTATTTGATGGTGAATTATGAAAAGTCTTAAGAAGTTCGACAATGTTATTGTTAAATTAAAAATGAGAAGAAAAAAAAAATAATAAAAAAAAAATAAATTGTTCTCATTTGGGGGATTTTCAATGTTAGCTCTTCTCCTTATAATCCATTCCGCTCTTCCTTGGAGTACAAAACATAATATAGATAATACTCCTTCGGTCTAAAAAAAAAAAAGCAGTGTCCATTTTTTTTTTTTTTGGAATGTTTCAAAATAATTGTTTACTTTTATTTTTCAAACAATATATATCCTTAAAATTTAAAATTTTAAACTTAAGTATTCAAAATTTAAAAGAATAAACTAGAACAAGCTAGTAACTTTCTAGACGAATAATGTATACCTCTTAAGAAGTTTTACTCTTCAAAAATAACGTTTAAATTAGGACGGATCCAAAAATAACGCTTAAATTAGGACGGATGGCATGGGCGAGATGATATATAACTAACTGTTTGGGTACATCAACGCGGTCGGATACTATGAGAGGTTGAGAGCCGTACGATCAAAATATAATTGTGTAATCAGTAGGCTATAATTTGTTTATCAGGATGCATGAACATAGAGCTACTTTAATAATTACTGTCCTCCACAAAGTAATATATTTATCTCTAACAATTCAACCTATATTTTCAGTGCCCGTTCAATTCTGCAATCTACCTGTACCATCATGCCATCAACATGGTGTTAATGACAAACTAAGGTTTGTTCATGTCTTCCACATGGTGTTAATGACATACTCTATCCAACAATAATTAGGGTTTACGTAAGGTTTGTTGGCTGAATTGATTGGACTTAACAACTCCACTATTTGAATGATTATTGTTGGTACAATTCAGGAGTTCGGGGTCTCTGTTGTAATAGTTCCTTACATTTTTCAATACATATAAGTTATATTTCTAATACATTTGTTTAACATTTTAATGCAATTTTGACACGTAATACAAATGTGTTGAACACTATGGGCTTGTTAGGCAGCCGCTTCTGTTTCGTGTTTTTTATTTATACCAGAGTAATGCAGAGAAACAAAAGCACGAAATGTGTTTGGTAACATTTGCTGCGATTTAAATAGTATCGACGCGCTTCCAAAAAATGATCAAAACCGGAGGCATGAAACATGTTTGGTAATATTTGTTGCGATTTGAATAGTATCGAAACGCTATCGAAAAAGTGATCAAAACCAAAAACATGTTTGGTAATATTTGCTACGATTTGAATAGCATCGAAACGCTTTAGAAAAAACAATCAAAACCAAAAGTACCAAATTGATACTTTCGGTGCTTCCGCACTAAAGCAAAAGCAAAGTTCACTAGAAAAATAAAAAAATCTAAAATTAAATTTTCAAAGTTGCAACACATTTTTACCAAACATATTTTCATATTTTTATTTCCAAAATTTTTGCAACAAATACACTTTACCAAATAGGCTTTTAAATAGTATTAAACACACTTCAAAGCTAAAACAATACTTTTGTTTCGGGTCAAAGTAAAAGCAAAAAGCAATTGCACGGGGACTATTTAAGTACGTTGAAATTAGAAATAATGATCATGAAAGGAGTTTCAACAAGGTTGAAACTTTTTTCCAACACATTTATTCTATATTTCAACGCATGAAGTACATGATAAAATTTAAAACAAATATGTTGAAAATTGATTTAAATGTGTTGAAAAATTTTATCGCACACTACGGCTCAATTTGTTTCGACGTAAGATGTTTTTTTTGGAAAATATTTTTCTTTTTCAAGTAAATTATTCATTTATTTTTATTTTTTCGGTGTTTAACAAAAGTTTAAGTCAAGGTTAAGGTCGAGTCCATCAAGCAAAATATGTAAAATAACTTGTCGAAAATTGATGGATAAGTTATTTTTGTTGGAAACGGAGACATTAAAAATATAAACTTTGGATGAGAATTGGAATAAATTCTGCTAAGAATTTTTTGCGGATCTATAGACCAGCGCGTTCCTCTTCGCAAGGAGATGAACGTGGTATATTTATTTTCTCAAATCCGTTTCCGGGTGAATGAGAAATTAGATCCAAAGTGAAGTGTTTGAAAAGCCTAAATGAAAAAAATGTTGAAACCAATTGAAGTTTAAATAAGTCAAGCTTGGGCTTGGATTTGGGCTTAGGCTTGGGCCTAATTATAAAGTCCGGATTATTCCTTTTATTAAATAAAATTTTGGATTGGGCCTATTTTTGGGCTGGGCTTATTTAAATGGGTTTCACAAATGGGTGGGTTTTTTGGGTGGTTGGTTTTTTGAATTAAAAAACTACTTTTTAGTTTTTTTAAAAGGTTACACCTTTTAAATTAAAAAAACCATATTTTAGTTTTTCTAAAGGGTTATACCTTTTAAATTAAAAAACACTTTATAGTTTTTTTAAAGAGTTACACCTTTTTCCGAACCATCATAATCCATGGTTGCACCCCACCTGAAAAGGCACCTGGCTACCTATAAATACCCCCCTTTGGATCATTTACAAATCACACCAAAATTCAGAGAATTCTTTTCTCTTCTGAATTTTCTTCTTCTTCTTTCTCTCTTTAGTCTGTGAGTTCGAACCTTAGTATTTGGGTTCGAGCCTTAGTCAGTCACTCCGAGTCCGAGTTTGAGTCAGAGAGTACTACATCGAGCCGGTTCGCCTATTCCTTTGGTTTGTAATGCTACTACCGAAGGAAAACAAGTCGTTGTACCCTAAGAGATAGAAGCTACTGAGTCCGTTAGCACCATAACGGGGTGAATCTGTCTTAAAGACATAGAATCAAATTCTAACCTCAATTTTTAATCAGGTTCTTTATTTTATAGGTTTTATTTTATTATATTAAACTATATATTATAACAAATTATATATATATATATATATATATATATATATATATATATACACACACACATTATATTTTCAGATAATATTTAAATAAATAATACTATAGTATATAGTATACTTAGACCATATTTTGGACAACAATATTAAACAGATTCCGCTTATACAATAGTTTAATTATTTAAATATTGTTGTTATTTTATTTCTGTAAATTTGACTGTGGTGTGTATATTTAATATATAATCAGACAAATGGCAAATATGAGTACTACTATGCCTAATGTTCCCATCAGTCACGGGGAGAAGCCCAAAAAATTCAATGGGGCGGAGTTTAAAAGGTGGCAACAGAAAATGATGTTCTACCTTACAACTCTAAATCTAAGCAAGTATCTAACTGAGACTGCCCCAGTGTTAGATGAGGGTGAGACTGACATTACCAAGTTAGGAGCTGTTGATACATGGAAGCATAGAGATTTCCTATGCAAGAACTACATCCTCAATGAATTGGACAACACTTTATATAATGTGTACAGTCCAATAAATACTGCTAAGGAGCTTTGAGAGTCATTAGACAAAAAGTATAAAACAGAGGATGCTGGATTGAAGAAGTTCGTGGTCGGACGATTTCAAGACTACAAAGTGATAGACTCCAAGACAGTCATGAGCCAAGTGCAGGAGCTCCAGTTGATCCTACATCAGATGCATGCTGAAAAGATGACATTGAGTGAATCATTTCAAGTAGCTTCAATCATTAAAAAGCTGCCACCTACTAGGAAAGATTTCAAAAATTACTTGAAGCATAAGCGTAAGGAAATGGGGCTCGAAGACTTGATTGTCAGGCTAAGAATTGAAAAAGATAACCGCACATCTGAAAAGAAAACCGGGAACTCTTCAATGGTGTCAAAGGCAAATGTAGTGGAAACTGGACAGAAGAATAAGAAGAGACAGTACTCTGGCGAAGGTCCCAACCAAGGAAACTACAAGAGGTTCACTGGGAAGTCCTTCATATACGGCAAGCTAGGACACCAAGCTAAAGACTGTCATAGCTGCAAAGCATAACACAACCCCAAGAAAAAGACCACTGAGGTGCATATTGCTGAGGAAGATAAGTTAATATAAAATGTGTCAAAGCTAAATCTTTCAGCTGTGGTTTCTGAAATCAACCTGGTGAGCAATAATAAAGAATAGTGGGTGGACACAGGAGCTACTCGTCATGTTTGCTCTGAAAAGAGGATGTTCACTACCTATGAAGCTATAGATAATGAAGAACAACTCTACATAGGGAACTCTTCTACTGCAAAGGTTGAAGGACGAGGAAAGATCAAGCTACTAATGACCTCAGGGAAAGAGCTCACTCTTAAAAATGTGTTGCATGTACCAAACATCAGGAAGAACTTGGTCTCTGGGTCACTTCTAAGCAAGAATGGGTTCAAGCTGGTCTTTGTATCTGACAA